ATACCGCTTAGAGCTACAGATGAAATGATCAATAGCATAATCAACAGTGAAGTAATTTTGTATTTAAGACCGATTTTGCAAATAAAGATAGCAATATAGCATTAACTATCAATGATTCATTTATTAATCCATAAGGTGGTGTGTTATCGTAGTTCGAGTGTTGACTTTCTCGCCACGGCGTGATTCTCGCTGCGCACGGACAGACGTTAGAGAAATAGCTCAAGGACCACGTTGTACTGTCTATGAATTTATATATCGACAAATAAATAATTGAAGCTTCCTAAACCTTGCGAGCGTTCCGTCTCAGGGTGCGTTCCGTGACGCAGGGACGGACGTTAATAGTCATGTTTAATAAATCAGGTGAAAATGAGCTATCTATAGACCAGACCAGGGAGCGGCGACGTAGATGTAATATTTAAGTCCAGTAGTATGGTGGTACTGCAGGGCAGTCAAACTATATTATGCAATTGGAGAAGAGGCAGTATAGACAAAAATGCGACTGTATAAATACTTGCATGACAAAGTACCTCGGAGAGTGGCCCGTCGCGCCAGGTGGCCCGCTGCACCGGGATGGATGTTATTACTAAAATTGCAAAGACCGAAATCTCTCAGCGGAGATTTGTTCGTGTGCGGTCCGGAAACTAGTGATTGCTTCTTCGATATCCTTGATGCATGTGGTATATGCATCCCGCATCAGCCGACTTGCTTCCCAAAGCTGATGGAGGTATGTTATCTCCAATCTAAGTTGACTAATCTTCCACAGTTGTTCTTCAATTCGTCGAGGGTCAGTAAGCGGGGGTATATACTTTGTTGTGTGAATATTTTTCGCCTCGAGCGCCACAGAAGAACCACAGTATTTTACCAACTCCCCGTCAAAAGGTGTAATCTCTGGCGGTAATGACGATTCCTTGATACTCATGGTTCCTAGTTGATCTCAATCATATAGTATCGTACCTTCTCCATTTTGTACCTAGGCTAGTATGATGACTCTATGTTTAGTGACTTCCATTTATATCGATCTTGCTCACTCTAGTGCTATTTTTCCATTCTATATCGTCTGTGCAACGTGAACGCACCGAAAATATCCTGAATCAAGTTTGATCCAACGATGGCCCTTTGAATACTGATACTAACGCATTTGGGTTAGAGTCCTTCGACTCTAATTAAACTAGAGTTCGTCCTCTAAAAATAACTCATAGGTTTGGTTTTCAAATCTAGACATATCGCACTGGAAGTAAAAATAATCCAACATTATGGATTGTCGCCAGCGGTCAATGTGTTATGGTTATAACACTACCTCCCTAGGTGTGATAAGAAGACCGCAATCCGTCATAAATTACCAGCCAAGTATGGTCTCTCTTATTAATGGTAAATACGTGATCGCACAGATAGAGGCTTTGACCCCGATAAAGTCAACTTTAATAATTAACAGCTTGTAAAAAAGGTGACAATATCTTAAAGCAGAGGATGTAGAGTAGGATCATGAGAAGTAACTTAACAGAATGGTACCAGCCATATGTCACGGGGTGACCCCATGACAGTAGCGATAAATGACAGAAGAGCGTACTATATTTTATAAATTTTATTGCTAGATAGTCGCTTTATACCTCAGAGTTGCAGGGGTGTGCTATAATAGCGGAAACGAATGGCGCCATCAAAATGATCTTAAGGCACGCCATCATGCGGTCAATCTTGTCATAATTTAATTGACATATCCCGCGAAGACGAGCACAAAGGTGGTTCGGAGTTAAGTTCGGCTCGTTGCATGAGGTGGCTCGTTGTACATGGATGGACATTATATTAGATAGGGACACCATGTTCTAATACTGTAGTTACTATTCTCTGTGGCCTTAGGTGGTGTCTTAGGCGAAGTGCTGCTTCAAATAGGGTAGTGATAATAGGCGATATATATTTCCATGTTTTCTTCCACACAATATATGGTAGCCCGTCATCTCCTGGGGCAGACAAATCCTTTGTTGTGACCAATGCGGCATGGATCTCGCCCTCGGTGATTGGTTCTCAGGGCAGTTCAACCTCCGCTATGTCTTCATTATTAAGGGACGGTGTTGGTGTAGGTGTAGGTAGGAAGAATGATTCTATGAAGAGCTTGGCATATTTGGTACCTGGTTCAGTATATTTCACGGCCTTCCATAGAAGGTTCCTGTCTGCAGCTTGGTTGAGGAAGTCTTTCCAATATGTGGATTTAGCTCGTTTAATGGCCTTCGCCCATTCCTTCCTGCAACCTTACATTAATACAAACAGTTCTTAAGTGACGTGGTGCTCGCGGCTAGTCTGGCTATAGATGTTTGCCACTTTCGCCGTGCTTTATTGTACTGTCGTTGCTGCTCTTTCAGATCTGGGGTGGACCAACGCTTGGAATATGGGCATGGGTTGGCTACTGGGGTTTGCTTTTCGACCGCATCAGCTGTTATCCTTATAAAGTGTTCCATAGTTTTCATGGTATAACTGGCACTTTCTAAGTTGGCCTGATACATTACTTAAAGTTAGGTCAAGTATGGTTCTACTCCCTGGCCGAGTCACAGTCCAGCACGTTGGTTCGCCTTGTTGTAGTTAGTAGTATAGGCTATGTTCCTCTATTAAACTGAGGAGGCTGGCTACTTCTCCTACTCTATATAGCTGAATGTTGTCACCTCCCCATAGTGGATCTTGCCGATTGAAGTCTCCACCTATTATTAGCTTATAAGTATTGTAAGGAATTGGTGATAGGAGTGTGAGATAGATTGTAGGATTCAAGAATATCCGCTAGCTCTCGAACGTATATCCTCGAGCTGCCTTAAATACACAGGTGCGCAGGGGCCGCGTAGGCGTCTCATCTTCTTACTGTTGGGGTTTCAACCCGTTCACACCAGTCTTGAATATATGAGTAGTCATGCGATAGCTATGTGTGCTTTTACTCCCCGTGGCGCCCGCGCCACGCTGCTGTCACGCCGTTCGTGACAATTGCCTCCCCCTCTCTTAAAGTGACGTCCTCGTCACTTGAGTAGATAGTTTGTAGTTTTTCATCTTCAAGGTTGGCGCCTCTCGCGCTCCACCCTTCCGCCTCACCTTCGCGTCAGCGGTCTCATTAGTTCAGTTTGTCTTCAGCCTCAGGTCACCCTCCGAGATCTGAGATTTCAGTCCTCAAGTGACCTGAACTTTCAGGTCTATAAACATCACCTCGCTCGCGTACTTAAACCATCCTCCTTATATCCTTATCTTGGCTGATATCGCTGCCGCCACGCCATTAGATCACATAAAGTGTTCTGCTTAATTGATTTCTTCTTTGATCATGTCTTCAACGCCACCATCATCCGCTGCGCCTGCGTCTCCTCGCACTGGCGAGGTGACGTTTGATCTCTCACACGAATCCGCGTCCCCTCGCGCTGGCAAGGTTTCGGCCACTAAGGCCACTATCTCCGCCGAGTCCGCCTCAGCTCACTCCGGCAAGGCTTCGACTCCTCGCTCCAGCCGCGTCGCTCATTATCGCCGCCCTTCTGTGTCGTTGGCTTGTGTTTATTGCACTCGTTGCGCTCAATATCTCCTTAATAGTAATGCTGTTCCTTATAACAAGATAGCAATATATAAGTGCCGCCGCTATCAGCTGGGCCAGAAGCATTGCCTACCTGTAAGTCATATTTTTTCTTCAAGCGATTGCTGCTGATGAGGGTAGATTCCCTCAACTTGTGTGCCTCGGATCAATTCCTTGCTCAAGGACGTAGCAAAGGCATCTCCTAATGACACTACAGCCCAGGAGGCGCTTCGTGCGCGGCTCACCAGCCTGGTTGCCGATATTCAACAAACGAACCGTGTCTCCAAGCATGCCTCCGGCATAAGCACTCCTGTCAGCCGCGCCTCCAAGGCGTCGGTGCTCCTCCTGCAAGAGATACAGGCTTTACATGCAACCTGCAGTCGCTTCTTTGATCGATTTCTCAGATTATATTGCAAGGCTGTAAGTTCTATCCTTATTGTGATCAGCTCAAGGTCGCTAACCCGACGCAGCACCAGCTTGACCCTATCAAGAATTCATCTGATAGCGAAGGGGCCATAGAAGGCGTTGTGGGATATTAAGCAGATTGCAATGATTCTGGCATCTGGCCATTGATACCCTATAGCAATAGCATAGATAGCAATACAGCATGTTTAGCTTTTACTTTATTCGTCGGCTCTTCCTGCGTGATTCACCACCATGCCATCTGCGGTCTGCGGCTTCTTGTGCTCATTTTCGCTTGAACTGCTGTAACAATTCCTATACATTTTCAAGATTTTCTTGTGGTAGCCATTGGTCATACTCCTCTAGCCAACCCTTCCATCTCACCTTGTACCAGAAGGCGCCTCGCCATCATTGGTGATCGAGGATTTCTTCTACTTCGTACTCGTCATAATCCTCAAGCTCTGGCGGTGGTAGGATATCTTGCTCGCCGTCGCGGCAGTGGTAAGGCTCTAGCGCTGAGACGTGAAACACATTATGTATCTTTAAGCTTATTAGAAGGTGTATTCTATAGGCTGGACTGCCGACAGGTTCGTCTACTTAAAAAGGACCCATGAATCGCTGTCCCAGCTTCCTGCTTACATCTTATATGCGAAGATTCTTTGTGGAGATTAGCACTAAGTCATTCTTTTGGAATTATTTAGGTTGATATTTTTCATTATAGTACTTCACCTGCTTCTCTAAGGTGTCTTATAGGTAGTACTGCAGCGAATCGCGTAATTCAACTACATGTTATATTCTTTCCTTTGCTGCTGGCACCCTCTCTTCATGGGCACTGTCCTCAGTGTCCAGATCCATATCAGGGTCATAACCATAAACTGCATAAAATAGTGAGCATTTTAGGTCAGCTCAGTAGGAGTTGTTATACACAAACTCAGTGATACATAGGCGCTTCACCCACTCTGTCTGGCATATCACGCAAAACACTCTCAAGTATTCTTGCAATATCTAATTTTGCCTTTCTATCTGGCCATCTGTTTGAGGATAGGAGGCTGTGCTGAGTCTCTGCTTCACCTTCACGTAGTAGCAGAGTTCAGACCAAAATTCAGATGTGAACCTAGGGTCTCTGTCAGATACAATGCCTCCTAGAAAGCCAAACCTTGCAAAGACCAAGTCTATCAGTATATCTGCAACCTCAGGGGCCGAGATCGTCTTCTGAACGGCAAAGTACAGTGCTATTTTTAAGAACTTACATACCACCACCAGTATCGCATTATAGGCGACGTTGCCTCGCATACTGATAGGTATTCCACTTATGAAATCTAGGGCGATCTCTTTTTATGGTCTCCTTGGTATTAGAAGTGCTTGCATTACCCCATAGGGCTTATGCCTTTTGACTTTCGTCTTCTGACACACGTCGCAGCTTTGTACGTACGTGTCGACGTCTTCACCCATGCGAGGCCAGTGGTACTTATGTCTAAGCAGCTCGGCCGTCCGTAATGCACCGAAATGACCTACATAGGGATCATCATGATGTCTTCTTAATAGCTCATCTTGCAATACATGTACTGGAGGCACAAACAAGCAATTTGAGTGCATGATCAGATCATCCTTCAGCGCCTAGTGCTTCGTTGCTTCGCCCTTCTCGATCCACCGGCGCAGCTCTTGCACTTTAGTGCTCTGGGCTTGTGCTTCAGCGACTAATTGTCTTGTTGACTTGGCAGTTATAGCATATATATCTTCTTGAGCTAACGCCTCTCTGATGTCGCTCTGGAGCATCATTGGCTCTCCACCCACACTTAGCAGGTCATCCCCTCCAGTACTAACTAGTAGGAGGAAACTCTATTGAGACGACGCCTCTCTAACGCCTCTCCGGAGCATCGTTAGCTCCCTACCTGTACTTAGCAGGTCATCCCCTCCAGTACTAACTGGTAGGAGGAAACTCTATTAGGCTATTGTACTGGCGGCTCGCCTGTGCGTAGCGCTTGTAGACCATACCAATAGTGCGCCCACGATTGTTCTCTCCGGCTCTATAGCCAATTTTATAAATAATGTTGGCAATATTAGATTCGTGGCTTTTTCCACATCATCATAGTCCGGCCTCCTTGACGGCGCATCGGCGGGGTTAAGTTTACCTGTATGGTGCGAAATCATAAAGTCGTAAGCTGATAGGGCCATAGCCCACCTAGCTTGCTAGCTATTCAGCTACTTGACCCTGGCGAAGCCGGTGAGGTTTTGATGATCAGTGATCACCTCAATTGGGTGTGCACTACCATCAAGGTAGTGTCGCCAGTGCCTAAACGCTGCCATGATTGCGAGCAGCTCTTGGTTATACGTCATATAATTTCTCTCTGCTGAGGTAAACTTGCGCGACCAAAAGGCCACGGGGTGCCACATCCCAGTTTCCACATTCAATTGTGACAATACCGCACTTGCGGCGAATGCTGACGCGTCTGTTTCGACGCGAATGCGTCTCGCTGGGTCAAAATAGGCTAATATAGGGGCTGTTGTAAATGCTGTGATAAGTTTGCGGAACGCTTGTTCCTCGTGGTCATTCCAGACAAAGGGTCCCTCCTTTCGGCCATCAACACTTCCTTTAAGGAGGTCGGTGAGTGGGGTTGCCAGCTTCAAGTACCCGTAGATGAACCGTCGATAGAAGTTGCATTACGATTATGGATACCAAATCCACAACTTTTTGGTTTCGTTGATGCACGATCACGAGATAAATTTAAAGGCCGATCTCGATATTGGAGGTACAGAAAACACCTTATACAGTGTGAATGTCGTACCCTTTCACACCATGTACGATTGAGAAGATGTGCACCGCTCCACAATGCGGCTCACCCACGAGATCATCGACACGGAGCGGGGCTTGGGCTGGTCGAAGAATGCGGGAGCTATGTATGTGCTACTCAACAATGGAAGCACTAACATGTGGGGCGAAAAGAGAGGCTACCGCATCACACTAGGTATAGGTATGGGCACAGCTCCTCATCTCACCATAAATGAGTCCACGGCCATTTTGAATGCCGCATCATGGGCGTACCACGACCTGTGGGTACTTAAGCACCATGATCATGAGCGCCGCAGCAGCAGAGAGTACAATGCCATGGAGCCAGAGAGTCCGCTCATCGATTTTGAAAAGATGGTGAACAGCGAGAGGACAGTGCAGCAGGACCTAGTGGTGTATTTTAATCTTGGGAACCATCATGTTCCACATAGTGGTGACGTTCCCAATACGCTTATGCATACAAGCGGGAGCAGCATCATGTTTGTGCCTATAAATTTTCACGACCGAGATCCAAGTCGTGACCGGGTGCAAGGTGTGACGCTGACAATGAACACGAAGGAGGTCGTTGGCGGAAGTAAAGTCGAGTATTTTGGTGCGAAATATGTGGAAGATATGAATGCTCCCTTGGTAAACACTCATTTTTTGATGTTTTTTGTTAACTTTTGTGCTTGTAGAGCTGATATATGTTCCTCAGGAGTGGCTAGAGCCAGATCTGTCCGGTTATTCGACGCCTGATGATTCACTGATGAATCTATCATGGAACTCCACCTTAGCCTCTCTATTAGAGCACAGTGTGTATTCATCTTGGACAGAGTCACTTGTGCGGACAATAAATTGGCTATCACAACTGTAAAAGCATGTAGCATTGCATAAGAATAGCGTTTTCGTGCAGGAGAAGTGTAGTATCTTCAAGATATTCCGTACAGGAAAGGAACCAATTCTTCTCGGAAGATGGTTGGATTAGGCATGTCCCTGATAAACTAGGCTGGAAATGGAGATGCTCCAAATTGGACTTGACGATTACACCATTATATATATAACGAGGTCTAGCCTCTGTCTTTCTTATCTTTTCCAGACCATAATCCAAGTGCATATTTCACGACTCTTATTATCATAGACTTATCAACGAGATCCAACATTTCAGGTAAAATATTTTGGATTTAGCAGAAGGAATGATTGGACCACAAGATATTTCATCAATCAAAATTCATCCCTTATCATTAAACTCCACTGATCGAGTTCTAGAGGACACTATCAAGGAGCGCATAGCCTTGATAGAGGGTAGTCCGCAAATTCTCGGGTCTGATGACTCCTTCTTTATTGCAGATTTGGCCGAGGTCCAGCGCCTCTATGCTACCTGGAAAGCTCATCTGCCCTACGTCAAGCCTCACTATGGTATGTGCAAGGAGTAATTTGAAGTACGATCCAATCAAACTAATCGCATAAATTGCACAGCCGTCAAATGCAACCCCGATCCTATGCTTCTTCGATGCCTTATCCAGCTCGGCATTGGGTTTGATTGTGCATCAATCGAGGAGATGCAGACCGTTTTGAATTTGTGCGTTGCTCCTAACAATATTATATTTGCAAATCCCTGCAAATCCTCGTCGGCTCTCGTCTTTGCAAGTAATAGCGGCATCAGAATGACCACATTTGACAACCTAGACGACCTCGATGCCGTGAAAACATATATGCCCCATGCACAACTGATACTCAGAATCTTTGCAAATGATGATAGTGCCTTGTCGGCCCTCGGAGACAAGTTTGGTGCTCATATGGAATCGACTCCAGTGTTGTTAGAGCGAGCAAAGGAATTGGATCTAGCCATAGTTGGTGTTAGCTTCCACATTGGCAAGTTCTTACACCTCTATGGACGTAGGGAGCTAATGGGGTTTCTTAGGATCAGGGGCCCGTAATCCAGATATTATGAAAAAGGCAATTACTGATGCTAGACTGGTTTGGTCTGCCGCAGAGAAGCTTGGCTTCAATATGACTGTGTTAGACATTGGTGGTGGGTTTCACTCGTCCAAAGTGGAGTTTCAAATGATGGCCAATGCTGTGAATGAATCTTTTTCAACTGCATCATTTCCAAAGCATGTCACCGTAGTTGCAGAACCTGGACGCTTCTTTGCTAAAACTGTCTACACACTGGTCTGTCGTGTTATTTCAAGAAGGAGGCGTGCTGGAGACCTTCCTTGTGATGAACCAGAGATGCTTTACCAGAACGATGGAGTCTTCAGAAACTTTATGAACGCTCTCTTCGAAGGTGAAATATTCACACCAGCGGCTTTGGTTGAGAGCAGCACAACCAGGCACATGCAACGTCAGGGCGGACCACATACTTACCGCATATGGGGTCCAACCTGTGACAGTTCGGACTGTATAACGCGCAAAATGCATTTTACTTGCGAAGTGAAGGTGGATGACTGGCTTATTTATAGAAACATGGGTGGTATGTATAGCATGAAATTTTTTTGGATTTATTTAGGCTAATGTGCTCACCATATAGCCTATGCTTCCGTGACCGCAACGAGATTTAACGGTTTTTCCAGTCAGACGAAGACTTTTTACACTTTTATTGAACGAAATCATGATGTTGTAATCAACGCAGCGGGCCAGAAATCCTCACGCATCGTAGTATAAACTTTATTTAGCTGTCAATCAAAAATAAGATCGTGTGATCCATTTGGTCGCGCCGAAATAAACGAAAAGCCAAAATTTACCGTCATGATAATCAGTGGGCATTAGCTTGGACGCGAGCCTGATGATGATAGTATTTGAAGATGGCACAAAACTTACCGGATTGAGTAAGCTTCCTGCAAAGAAAGTGATGAGCTCATGGTTCTAGGGGCTAACAATTTCCTGACCATCAGGCCACGGGTCATAATCCAGTTCCGGCGTAGAAATCTCGTCATGTTTAAATGATTTTCACTGATTCCTTACGTTCAGACTCTGTGAAGGGGTTATATGTCCGAGTCACATAATTTTATCTGCTACTGCAAATAAACAAGGTCGTCATTGTGTGGCTCTTTCGAGAAGCTCAATGTGTCGTAGTCCACATTAGCACAGGATCTTCGAATCCCCCGTAAACTCAAACATGGTTTGCCAACGCTTTTGTCCTGCCGTCTCTCCATTCCTGTTCTTCTTTGGTCGCCTAGCGGACACGTTGAGTCTCGCGAGAGCGAGCCTGGGGTTTGGTCCTGCTGCTTATCTACCAGGTAGCTTAATGTTATTAGGTAACATCTATAGACCAGTACTGATGAAAAACATTATTTCCAGCGTATACGGTGTTTGAGCACCTTTGACATATTTTTATAGGTATCTTATTTGTGGAACTCTGCGCACAATATGTTACGAGGGGGTGGTAGGATATCATACTGTACTTGTTTCTGGAGGTTTTTACTGACTAGTTGACGATGTACTTCTTTATTGACGCAGCTTTGACACCCGTCACAGCAGTGGTAGCATTCTGGATGTTACCGTCTTATATTGGAGAACGCGAAGTAGTTGGTGTCAAGATGGGCCCGATCAAGTAATATAGAGCACCGAGTCTCTCGAAGTTCACCACTAGCTGATCTCGAATAATAAGTTAATTGAACTTACGATTTTACATTCATCCTACACTAAACAATATAGCAAATAAATAAAACATAATATCTTTATGTGATTCTACTAAAGCTTCCATTTGTGGACTAGCACTATCTTGGAAATATAAACCATCAATCATGCTAGATACTTACAAGAAAGGCCCCAAGCCCTGAATAGATTTGGAAAGGATTAAATGCTCGTATTCGCAACTGAGACCGTGAGTTGTCCCCTGAGAACAACAGGTAATACTCTAATGTTGCCGCTTTGTACTAAAATTAAGAGGACGATGGGATTCGAGGAGAAAAATTTGTAAAAAAATATATGAGAGTATCCGGAATAGAAAAGCGAATTGACTCCATATTCGCCCCTCCTCCTCCCTGCGGCATACCTTGTCAGGGAATAAATCCTTTCTCTTCGCGCTACCATCACGAAAAAGTACAAGAAATTTAGTCATCGCATGCAGCTAAGATCCTCCTGATCGTAAAATCTCACCTATCATCCAGGCTGGTATCCCTTTCCAGCTTTTTGTCCCTTCAGAAAGCGTGAATGCTGTTCTATTTATTCCCCAGTCGTGTTGTAGGAAACTATACTCACCTCAGTTTATCCCTCCCATTGTAAGTGGAGTATTTAGGTATGGATACCTTTACAATTGAACAGATGAATGTCTCGTACGTATGCAGATTTTCAACAACATCGTTCTCTCTGATGTAAAAGTTACAGCTTCGACACTGAAAAAGAACCAGACCTCACGATTATATGTCGGCACAAGCGATACTCTGTTCATAAAGCCTTCGTCTGTTCACTATCGGAATTTTTCGAGGGCGCATGCAGGAACGCTTTTAGAGAGGCAAAAGACGGTGTTTTTGATCTTAGCGAGGATGACCCTGAAGCGATAGAACATATGCTCTATTGTACAGCTTGTATTTCATGATTTATGGCTGCTACTAAACTATCTATTTGCAGATATTTACCATCTTGACTATCTTCCTCAGCAGGAAGCGAGCTTGCGAGGAGTTCCAATACTCTCCGAGCCAAAACTATCCACTAGCGATAAGCTCTGCACTAAGTTCACTCGCAAGATGTTAAATTTCGCAACAGTCGAAGATCCGCTCCTAACCACGGCCGATTCAGTCGTTTTACCCCCGTATCCATCACCAAGTATAGCAACCCTAGATTCAGCAACCCCGCTGACACCACCGGCAACTGCAACGTCTCAGACAAGAGAGCCTCCTTGGTTACTGTCTGCAGCTAGCTCCTGTAATAATGAGGAGGAACTGGTGGGCATGTTTGATATGGTGTCTATACCAGACCAGCAACCGGACCATAAACGTGCCAATCTTATAGTGCACACCAACGTATATGCCATTGCAGATCAGTAAGTCCATGTATACCCACTTGCGTTTCTCTTCAGGCTTTATAACGTGTGAATAAATCTTTCAAAACTTTGCAAATGCTTGAAAGAAAAACATACTAACACAGTCTTTAGATACGGTGTACTAGGTCTGAAAGACCTTGCGAAGAAGAAATTCGCTACGCAATTAGAGCATCATTGTGGATCTAGTGAATTTGCCGTATGTTTACGAGAAGTATATCAGACAACTCCTCCGTCCGACCGCGGACTGAGGGACATCTTAATTGGCACTTTCAGGAAGTCTCCAGAACTAATACGGAGACGGGATGTTGAAGATTCTGTGAAACGCACACCAGACCTGGCATGGGATCTCTGTATGATGGTATTGGGGCTGCCTGTATGATGTTTTAATATGTACGGCGTCCGCATAGAATACAATGGGCCTACTCTACAGCAATATGTGGCCAGCTCCAATCCAAGAAAAGTCTACACCACCTTGCCGGTGTCATCAAAATGCCCCCCCCCCCCTCCCCTCCCTCCCCCCCATCACTGGTGATGATGATGGTGTCCATTTATAGTCCGTTTCAGCCGGTTGGGGCTATGCCAGACTTTCTAAGGCTAGTAAGATGCATGTGTCCTCCTCAAGATACAACGTCTAACCTGTAAATTTGTATATAGGCAGGGAACCAAAGCTGACAGTCTCACCCCATAGAAAGAAGGGAAAAGACATGAAAAAACCTCCTTCCAAGATAGTATCTCTAGACCTAGATACCAATCTAAAGGAGAAAAGGGAGGAGACAATTGAGCCAGTGCTCTGTACTCCCCTAACTCTTTCCTTCTCTTAATTGTGTAATAGCCGCCTCTTGCCTTAGCATAACCATTTATTTCTCGCCAAGTCCCTCCTCTATAACTCTCCTATAAGAGCATAGCGCTTAAATAGATTGTGTGTCATGTGAGGCTCTATCAGTTGCGGGCGTGCGCTGATTGCCAGACAACTCCAGATAGATGAGGATTTGGTACTCACTCCTTTTTGACATTGCGCTCTGTTTAGCCTCAGATAAGAGCAAGACCCAGACTGAGTTGACCAGGTGGCACCACGAGGAGGTGACAGATGCGACTTTGCCACAATTAACTCCGAAGCTCTCGCATACACGTGTTCCCAAGATACATTGACATTTGTTGCAGGGAATCGATTCGGACCACCTCGATCTTGTTTTGGACCACCTCGCCCTAATTAGGCCGTATTGGTCATCATTTAGGGTGAGATGGCAGCACAAAATAAAACTACTCTCGCTTAAAAACAATACATAGCCGATTTGGACCAGCCATACCAGCGATTCATATATGGGTGATATAACACCAGGAGTATTCGGACCACCCGTTCAAACCTAAAGCACTTTCATCACCTACAGGACTATGCTTCAGACAAACACGAGTGCGGCGACCCTCATTCTCGTGAGGAGACTGCCCTCCCTCAAATATAGCCGATCTAAGGCGCTTCAAAAAGCCAAATTCGCGACTATAGCCTTCTTGTACAAGGAAGGAATCAATACCACCTGCGCTCTCAATTAAGGTGATGGCTGGATTACCTTCAAAAATATGCCATAGCCTCTCCTCCTCTATGCCAGCGTCTTTAATCTCATCTGTACCAATGAATGTCTCGACCACACAGCCACAAGTTTCTACCATCTGACGTCAACCGGTTGTTCCCACAGCAAACAGAGTCCCCATGATTAATAATTAAGCTTTTTAAACCTATAGAATGGCAGCTTGGTGTGCAGCGCCTTGAAGCTTTCCAATATCCATATCGCATTTCTTCGAGCATAAACAAGGAGGACCTGGCTCATCCAGTACTCGTTGCGGTTTCTTCGGCGTGCGTTGGACAGAAGTTCCTTTGGAAACATAAGTATACTGAGATGTTTTATCTCGTGGTAGGCGACACCTTGAGCGTAGTAAGTCACCATATTCCAGCTCGTAAAGCGGACATGCGAATCCTCTGGACTTTATCAGCCTCGCAATTTCGATCGCTTCCATACGCAGCTTATTATTCTGTTCAATATTAATCTGGGCATATGTTCTGTCCTTATTTATATCTACCATTTGCGGCATATAAGCTGAACCTTCTGCTACACTTTTCATCTGACTGGTGTCCTCATTGTGATGACCTTCTTGAGATATAGCTGATTGAGTGCAGTGGGTTTCCGATGATATGATATGACACTACCACTGCTATCCTTTGTAGCTTATGGATCTAGCATAATATCCTGGTTGATAATTTCCAAATTATCAACCTCTGAATCGGACTCAGCCAATCCCGAATTGCTAGACAGATATATGGGGTCATCTAGCTCCTCTACTGTTGGTAAGGGCTGTGCTGTACTTAAAGTCGCTTAAATAGAGGATGTCACCTTATTTATCTTGCTCCGTGCAAGCCGCAGTGCCATAGATTCTTGTAGAATTTCTCTTTTAAAATTATCCCGAGTTTTTCTGGTTGTCTTTACACGAGGCTCCGCCAGTCTTCTTAGAGTTCCTCTACGAGGTAAGTTTGTCGGTTTGGATTGTTTGAGCTGTGTACCCTTCAACCATATCCATGGTGATCCTTCTTCCTCATCTTGCTGAACAGGAGATATCTGAGGAAAAGCAGGGGGCGAACGAGAGTTGTGGAACTCATGGCCAGTATCTTCTGGTCGCGCTCGTCTTGGCT